TGAAAAAACCACAGATCTAAAAGAGCAGTGTGCTACAATCCATAAAAAAATAGAAATCAATACCATTTTTCTTTGTAGTTTATTTTCATTCAAAGGCTAGTCTAAATAAACGTCATCATTAGACGGTTTATTGAGATTGTCACATGGCTCACTAGTAAGAAGGATGTACAAGTTGTCACAGCAAAAATATCAAAATAAGACAACCCTGTTTCCTATGCAATAATTGTGCTGAAATAACATCAAGATCTATACTAGGAAAGAAAGAAGTTTACAGCCATTCAAAATCTAACTTAGCACAAAGACAGACTGCTTGACAACTATCTGCTTGACAAAAATCTGTATTCAACTATTATTTCCAGTTTCAAAACCTCGACTAAGTGAATCAGCAAAGATTTGTTTTGGTTAAACAACTCCATGCTTTAATGAAAGTCTTGCTAGGTGTCATTTCCATTACACTATTCAACCCTTCCACTGAAAATAAAAAAACCAAGCATAACTAACCTGAAAAAGGATTCATAATTTTCAGTAAGCTGAGAATCAAGATAAACTACAAGTCAATACCTGAAACTACTATAAGAAGTCTACTTTTGTCCTCCTCTGCAGAAGTTTAAACCAAAAATAGCTCCATAGGTTATCAGTGTTATACAACTTTTCACTTTCTTTTGAGATGAAACTTCACCTTTATGAACTATTAAAATGGAATGAATGTTAACAGCTAATTATTAAATTCAAGCGTATGGGAGGGGCTTCTTTATGTTTCAGCATCCCCATCTTCAAAAAATTGTGTTATTTAGTGAGTGAAAAAAGGCAGAAGAGATAGAATACTTCTGAAAAATACATTATCTTTGATGCATGCTAATGTCATGGCTGTCACTGAGGTGAAAATGAAGTAAAAATGCTCATTTTACTTTAAACATACTCTTGAAAAAAGATTAACGCTTGAAAACTCTGACACTGAAAAGAGCTTTCTTTGAAATCTGAAAAATAGCATGGGTAAACATTACATACTTAAGACCAGAGTAGATTATATATCATTTTCACCATTACATTCAAGTTAAAATTACTGTTAAAATAGTGTTTGTTCTGGATTGTTATTCCTACTTTAAAAGCTGTGTTCAGGAAGGTACTATTGGATCAGGTGCAAGAGTTTCCCTTTAAAGTTCAGTTTCAGGTCTCCTCTTTATTTCGCAACCATCATAAAGGATTGCACAATGGCTTTACATCAGTAAATTGCGCGTTTGAAACTTTATTTCCTTCAAACACACATATAAAGTGAGATTTAGTGTCTGGACACCAAAAATGAGAAGTTATTTTTCTGAATCAACGTGTTCAATGTAAATAATAATTTTCCTCGCCAGAAAAGTGTCATAAACTTGTAATTACCGATATAAAAAACACCCATAATTCTAGACATCCTCCTTTCTTTACAAAAAAAATTCCATTATATATTGTTTACATCAATTCTGTCCATTTCTATTCTGGGTAAAATCAGAAAGTTTGCAATAGAACTTACCCATTTTTACTAAATACCCGTATCCATGCTTGTATGTTTGGTCCCAGCATACACAAGCATTGTAAAGTAGTAAAGGTAGATAGAAGAACTGCAAACAAAAACGTCTCAGTCACTGACCTACAAAGAAGGGATATTACAAAATTAAGTGAGGTAGTCACTATGTCTTCTAAGAGTTCCAAGATTTAGGAAAACACACACCTCCCCCATCCAAGTCAACTTGTGAAAGCATGCATACTTTCTTAAACCTCATGTAGAAGAATAAAGTACTTTTTTCTTACTCTATAGAACAGTAAAGAAAAATTGAAAAAATTATGGTATCTGGTTGTTATCTCAACAAAGACTGAAATTCAGCAATTATTTTAAATGCCTGATACATGTAACATTTTAAAAAACACAGGAGTACCTCATACAGAACGTTACTTCTGAATTGAAGTACACTTGGATATTTACTTCATTATTCCATTTATTTTTCTAATTTGATGTTGTGGAAGCAACCATAAAACCAAATTACATGATGCCATTGTTAGAGAGTAACTTCGAATCTCTCTCAGAAATCAGGCTGCTTCATGTCTCTCCTTTTATTTTTTCTTTTTTAATTATTCCTAAAGATTAAAACACTAATATCAAAAGGATGAAAAATATGTAAGATGTGTGTTTTAGAATCTTATTGGGAAAATGACCAAACAAAACATGGAAAAATGTTTGTACCCATATACTTAACAAAAATATTAAAGTAAAAGGAGATGTTTGTAACTGTCTTGAACAACACATCTCCTAATATACAGAAATTGTAAGAGACAGCTTCTAAACAAACAAACAAAAAACAACAACAAAAAAGCCCACCCCAAAAAACAACAAAGCCTCCCAAAACTCAAAACAGCCCTCTTTCTTCCCCCATCCAGGAGCTTATCCTTTCATTTCCCATGTATCAGGAAACATACAAGTACTTATACCAATATCTGCAAGGAGGACTGCCCCTTAAAACATTTAGGGAAAGACAGGGTCTTCTGACTTACTCTATGAGAGGTGCTCCATAAAGAACAATAATCGCATGAAACAGTATGCAAGACATGAAAAAGTATATACAGCATTTTAGAAATCTGGATATCTAAAAAAGAGCAATAAAATATCAGAATAATGTTTCAAAAGAAAAGAGAAGATTTTGACTATATATATGTTACTTATGTTATCACTAGCATTGTACTCTACTATTTCTTTAGTTTCAGCTGTAGCACACTATGATAATAGCATGGCATATTTCAAAACAGTTTTCTCTATATTTAATACTTCAAATAATCAACTAAAAATGATCACACTCCACCTAAATTTTTTTAAATGCCCCTGTTATAATAAGGCAACCATACAAAAAATATAACTGGAAATGACAAGATGAACAGAGTTAATTTTATTGGATATTTTTACATTTCTGTTTTACATCTGAGTGTTATGTCCACTCATTAAAAGGCATCTTTTACAGAAAGTGAAAAAATATTTAAAAGCAAGAAAATACATAATACGGGGGAAGAAAAAGACATTCAGAATCAAATGGAATAAAAACATATGGAATAAAAATCACTACATTTTGAACTTAGCATCTTAAATTCTAAATCCACTTGAGCAATGTCCGTGACTTTCTACAAATGTGCAAAACACATACAATTTTCTATGAATTTAAACAGCAGTTTCTGAGTACTCACTATATCTTACAGAAGCATAGCCACTTGATAAACAGTTCTGGTTAGGTCTGTTCTGATCAGGTCACCAATGGAAATCCATAATTTCACTTGACCACTTTTTTTTGACATTTATTCCTTATGCTAGGCTGGGATGAAATCTCACCTAGAACATGAAGCCTGCTTCATTTTTAAATCACAGGTGGTTAAAATACTTGTTTTCCATAATGATTTTGTGTATTTCACATCCCCCTACGTCAGCAAAACTAGACAGAAGCCTTGCACACAAAGATACTGCTTTCAGGGACGTCTGCTTAAATTTTTGAGAATCACCACATCAGAGCACTAAGTCTTGTCTGACTCTGCAGGTTGGGAGTAAAAGACTATCCAACTGACTTCAAAATCCCAATGTATTTCCCCATTCCTGAAGAGGTTGTGTGCTGCTTCGAATTTGCTCTGTGCAGACCTATTTCAGTGGGATTTAGTGTTCCTGTTTAAACTGTAACTACAAAAGTTTCTCCCAGATTTAGATTTTTCTGTGTGCAAACTCCATAATTCAAGTATACGTAGCCATTTTAATACTTTTCCACGTATTTTTTTAAAACTTACCAACTTTGTTGAAATTGTAATGGGCTAGTCTCTCTTCTATGTCTCAAATTCTAAAAGTTATTTCACTTCCTTTAAAGTCATTAGAAATAATAGTAGAAATTATCAGTAATTACTTTCTTCATAACACTGAAGGTCAGGCCTGGACTATTAAATGAGTTCTGCACCCATTCAACTTCGTTAATTTTTGTTACCATGCAAATTGTTGGAAGACCAATTGCTGGGACTGTAAACAATATATTGACATGAAAAAGTAAAGACACAGAATTGCTCACCTGAACAGGTTATGTACAGATAGAGAAAGCATAACACAGTGAAAATATTGGAGAACTTGTTTCAAATGGTGCTACACTCAAACTCATTCATGGAAAACAAGAATTTACCACCAAAAATTGTCATCTTCTTTCTTATTCAATTATTTCACTGAAAGAATTTGCTTCCCCTCCGTATTGTCTGGTAGCAATTTAAGAATGAAAATCTTACCTTGTGAGCAAATGAACTTCTCTTAGGAGTCAGATTTGGTCTAAAGACTAAGTGCAAAATTATATTAAGGGTACTAACACAGACAGAACAAATACACAGCCACGTGAGGTGTGTTCCCAAAACTGTGAATCCTTTCCAGAAGAAAGCCGGAAGAACTGCTGTCAGCACAATGGAAAAAACACAGAGGAGGTTGGCAGCCAGAAGCCTCCTTATTTCTCCTTCTTTCATCGTGTTCCCTATTCACCGGCCACCTGCAAGACAGCAAATCGCACCCCGTTACTCCAACACAGCACAAGCGCCACGGGGTAAGACTTTTCCTAGTCGCACCACGCCAGGCAGGGCTCTAAGCTTAGTTTGGGGCTGAAAGTTACTATTCTGGGGCAGAAGAAGGTCACTCGTCTAAAAAAAATGAACCCCAGACCCATGGACACGGCAGCATCAAACTGGTAGCCTCCCCCTGCACCGGCACCCCTCACACCGCCCGGCGCCCTTCCTGACGGGAAGAACCGCCTCACCCACGCCACGCCCCGGCTTTCCCCACCGCCCGGGCCGGGCGCCTCCTCACCGCTCCCTCTCAGCCGGGAGGCGGCGGGGCGGCCTCCTGACAGGCCTCAGGCCGCGGCCTATCCTGAGAACACCTGCCGCGGGCCGTGAGGGGCCGAGGGGCCGGCCCGCCTCTTACCGCAGCCGCCGCCGCGGGGCCGCCCGGCAACGGAAACCGGCCGCGCCCGTACGTCAGTTCCGGGGAGGATCCGGAAGCGGCCGTTGTTGTTGTGGTGGGGGGGGCGGCAGCCATGGTGTGCGAGAAGTGTGAGTACGGGCGTCCCGGGGGAGCGGCGGCCTTGTCCCAGCCTCCGGGGCCTACCCTGCCCTCAGCCACTGCCTTCCCCTTGGGGGTCCCGGGCGGCACCTGAGCCGAGCCGAGCGGCAGCGGCGGGTCCCGGGCTATAGAGGGTGGGCTGTAGGTGGTGGTTGCGGGAACGTCTCTGTCATTCTCCCTCAGGCAAGCGCTTGTTGTGGGTATTAATGCAGCATTGTTTTAATTTTTTCTCCCTTTGTAATGTTTCCTTACGTAGGCGAGAAGAAACTCGGTACGGTGATCACTCCCGATACGTGGAAAGATGGTGCGAGAAACACTACAGGTAACCTCGGGGAGGTTTAACATTTGTTTTTCAGTTATCTTAAAGCTGGTTAGACACCTGAGCTATCTTACAGTCTTCAGGCTAAGATTTGAAAGAGTTAGGTTAATTTCTAACTCCTGTAGTTTCCTTCCCAAGCTAATTTAATACCTTGGGAGCTTAGTTACCCTAAGCTCTTCTGTATTGAACTTGTCTGTCTGTTTTGTTGTTTTTTCTTTCCTTTGTGTGGAATGATGATACAGAAAGCACAGGATAAAGTATTGCGTTGTCCTGTGCTTTAAAGCTGTGCTATATGTTTTATTTCTCACAGTGACTTTATTTGCACGTGTGTAAAAGCTCTAAAGTAAGCTTTTTTTAAGTATGCTTGGAGGTGTGAAATTTATTGGTTTATGGTTTTATTCTTTTTGTAGAAAGCGGTGGCCGCAAGTTAAATGAAAACAAGGCATTGACCTCAAAGAAGGCAAGGTTAGTATTTAATACTGATTTCAGCTAAAAAAGTCAGTTTGCTGTAACAGAGGCCTGTTTTCTGCGTATCTGGGCAGCTGCTCAAAACTTGTCCAAAACATACATATGGGTTTTTTTTAAATAATTTTTGGGATTATGACACTTGATTAGTTGGTAAAAGTATCTCCATAAGTATTTTGTGGGTGCTTTTTGCTGAATCATAGAGTCTGGGCATCTGTTTTGCTGCGGTCCTCACTGAAATTGCTAGGGTTTGATGCTTTAGTTAGGAGAGGAGCTGGCAAGGCTTATTTTCAATGTGAAGATTGCCAGTACAATCTCTTGAGCATTTCCTTAAAGTCCAGAGGACATTCTATTATGCAAGGGGGCAAGGTGCTGCTGGAAGGTGTTTAAGTTCAAAATAGTATATCTTAACAAAAAGACACATTTTTAATTAAGTTTTTGTTAAGTTTGTGTCCATAACACAGGAAGTCTCTCTCAATGGGGAAAGTGGGAGCTTCTCTGTAGACTTTGTGTAGCCTATTAGTAATAATCTTTGAATGTCCTTTTTCTAAATTATAGTTTTTGCTGGAGTTTCTGTCTGTGGCCTCTGGCTTAGGCTTTTTAGGATGAGGCAAAAGAACTACTTTATTTCTAGGTGATAAATAAAATACTTTTTCTTTTTCCCAGGTTTGATCCTTACGGAAAGAACAAATTTGCAATATGTCGGATTTGTAAGAGTTCTGTCCATCAGCCAGGGTCTCACTATTGTCAAGGATGTGCCTATAAAAAAGGTGAGTTTCGTTGAGTACCAAACTACCCCGGTTTGATTTGAAACTAAAAAGCAAGTGGAACTCTCAGGTTCTTTTTCACCTTACAAAGCGAAGGCTAAGATGAGAATTAATTGCTGTCTTCAACTACTAATAGAAAAGTCTGACTCCGTGCTCTCTACGCCTTCCTGAGCTGCACAGTAATAGAATAAGAGACAACGTACACAGGTTAGAATGTGGACAATTCTAATTACATACAAGGAAAGCAATTTTCCCCATGATAGTGCTCAAATATTGTAATAACAGGAACCCACAGAGATTGTGGAATCTCTGTGGGGAGGTATTTAGAGCTTGACTTGAAAAATCCTGAGCCAGCTTCATCCAGCATTCAAGTCAGCTGTGCTTCAAGTGGGGCAGGGGCAAGAGTAGAGACTGCTGGATATCCTTTTCAACTGAAGTTACTTATATATAATTGTTAGAGGTAGAGCTGCAGCTAACCAGTAGTAAGTTTTGTTTATGAAATGACTTTGTTTGTTCTATAAATGTGCACTGTGTCACTGAGCCAGTGATTTAGCAGCCTCCTGTAGGAGGGTTGCCTTTTCTAGTTGCTAGTTGCTCACCAGATGGCTGCCTGTATCCCATATGGTAAAACCTCTTTCTTAAGCTTATGGCTGGTTTGGGTGGGCTTGAGGATTTTGTCTTTGTCTGCTTGTGTATCCTTCCAGGTTGAATCTGTTTGCTTCATAAAATTCAGACGTGCGTCAAGTTCTGGTTCTGACCTTTAAAGATGTGGTTGTGGCATGTTTCTTGAATCGTGTTCAGTCATATGGCTTAGTTCTTCAACTGTTGTGTATCTCTGAAATTGAGAGGCACCTTAAAGTTAATTGCTCCTCAATTTAGGCCTGAAGTGAACACCCTGTGGGCTGGATTTTGATCTCCAAAGTAAATCATGTGGCATGTTCCAGGCTGTTCTTTTTCCTAATGGACTCAAATAAGTGTCCAGTCACGTGATGACAATATATGAAAGGACACAATTTGGAGAGAGTTAACAGGAATAGTTGCCACTTGACTTTTTTTTTTGTTGTCTCCTGGCGAATGATTTTGTAGAAGGAGATGTGGCTCTACCTGACAAAAGATTTAGCACCTTTCTGCTTTAGAAGAGGATAACGTTGAGGAAACCTACCCCTCTGCCTCTACTGAACTTGCGTACTTTTTGATGCTCGTCTTCTGACTTGCCACTCTTTGGGTTTAGGTCAAAGTCCTCTGGGACATCAATGGTCATCTTCACTTCAACTCTCAAGTATTGTTGGTGTCCATTGTTTATCACTTCTACTGCACTATAAATAGCTTAATTCCATGAAACTGTATTCTTCTCAACTTTCTCAGTTGTCTGAAGCTCTCCACCTGTCAATCTTCCATTTAGCCGTCAGTTTGTTGGTGAATGTATTTTCTTAGCCTAGCTACTTTCTGTCTGTCTTGGGCCTTGGCTTGGATATAGGACATAAAAAGTTTAATAATACACCATTTTTACCTGTTTGCCAGGTGGGAGCCATTCCTGGCTCTCTTCTAGTATTCCAGCAAATTACAGAGGCTTTGGATAGTGTTGTGAATCATAATGCTCTCAAAATAGAGTTGATTTTTTTTTTAATTAGTAGTATTACACATATGCTGCAAATACCAATTTGTATTAGAAGTCGTATTATTACTTCTGACTTTGCAATATTTGGTGAGAAAATGCATAGATTGTCAATGAGAGCTCATTTAAGCAATTTCTGAAATACATATCAACTATGTTTTTAAAGAAAAACTTCATTTTAAAATAATTTACACACCTTTTGTGTGCTTATAGGCATCTGCTCAATGTGTGGGAAGAAGGTGCTGGATACGAAGAACTACAAGCAAACTTCTGTCTAATTGTCTTGACTAGTCTTTTTATGAACTTGTAATGTTTGTGTCTTTGTACAGTTCACTTTTCTCTAAAATGATTTGTGAATATTACTTTCTGAAAGATAATACATTTGGAATGAGATGAGAGGTAAAGATAGCCTGGTTGTTTGCCTAGAAATGTACATAATATTTGATTTTGTTGTTTAGAGCTAACTGATATTTAAAGGTAATGGTTTGCAGCAACTGATACAGTTCGAAGTGATAGAGGATCCCAGTGGATAGCTTGGAACTATTACCATCATAACAGATCTTGAAGATTAACACTTTTATTCTTTTGCTGTATCCTGAGTCTTCTGCTTGTCTGATAGTAATATTAAATACATGTATAAAATATGGGCATATATCACCTCATTAAAACAGTATCATCGTTTAGTTCTATGCTTATAGGTATTTATGATTATTCTCACCTCAAACTATTACGTCCTCCCCTCTAAGTATTGCTCTTCAGATTTTAATGCAGTTGTCCTGTTGAATTTTGTTTCTGCCTACAGTAGGGTTGGTTAAATCACAAATTGTTAAACTAGTGAAATCTAATGTGTTACTCTGCCAGTTCTTACTTTGCCAGTAAGACTGAGTAGCTGTTCCCCTCAGACTCTAAGGAGGCTTTACATACAGCATCTGGTGGCCCAAGGCAGTAAAATAATGACCATCGGTTTCTAATGCCAAGTCTCAGTCTTATCATTTCCTAAGTTAGTCTGGCTTTTAAATGCTTGGTTTGAAACTGGCTCTTGAATTCTATGCCGTAATTGCTTATATACATGTCAAATGCGAAAGATCAAAACAGGCTGCTTTCTCTTCAGCATTGCTTTGATGTAGGACTTGAAGTGAGCCTCTCTGAACTCACTCTCTGAGTGTGGCTCTGCATTTCTTTTGTCCTTTGGTTAGGGAGAGTAGTAAGTGTTCCCAGTGCATGCCTTTTAGGTGAAGAGAATGGTGGGGTTTTAACTAGACCTATTTAAGCGTTTACTCCTCCCAGCAATCTCTATTTGGCAACCTCTTACGCTTTTGCAACTTTCTTTCAGTTGCAACAGAAAAACTATCAATGGGAATTTCCCTATGAATAGATACTGTGTTTAGGTTTCTTTTGGTTCTCCTATCTTTTACTGAGACAACTGCATGACTAATGGAGACTGAAAAATCGCTGTTCTTTCTATGTGTTAGTGGGAGAAAATAAAGAATATTAGGGATATAGTTATTCTCTTTGCTCTTAGTTCCTGCCATGCTGTGGAGGAATGCTGCTGCTTTTAATTTTAAAAGCTTCACCTACCTTAACAATTGAATGGAAATAAGTGGATTAGCTAGCTGGTGACGGCTGGCATACTGCAAAGTTGTTTCCACATGGTGATGGCCACTTGTTTCCAAACACATCAAGGAATTCTAGTATTAGTGTACATCTCTATGGCACATCCTTTGTATGGATGAAAAGAAAATGTCTATAATTATGCTTCAAATTTTGCAGCAAGTGCTTGTTGCCAGAATGTGTGGTGATTTCTAATGGCAGATTCTCTGATACTTTCTGAACTCTTCACCCTTTATGGGTGTATTGTATAGGATAGATTCACTTTTGCTATTCTGTGAATAAAACTCCTTTTCTTGTCTTCCTAAAACTTGGGAGTATCTCAATTTCAAAAGCATTACTGTTTGTAATTCTTGCATACATGGTATGAATTGAATGTTTATTGCACTCTGTAAGTATTGGCACTGAATGAACTCTTACCTCATTTTGTAACTGATTTAAGAACAGGGATTTAAGTAATATGATCATTTGTTCATAATTATTTTGTGAATAGAGCTTTTATGCACCTGTATCCCATTACTGGGCAGCTGCTTTTACATGTTAAAATATATTTTTCTTGGAAAAGGAGGACAGGTTTTATTTTGGGGTTTTGTTTGGTGTGGTTTTTTTTTTAATAGTGAACACAAACAGTGATTTGTTGTTCTAGTGGTTTGTACATGCTTGGGATCTTCCATCTGTAGCTCTCAAGCCTTCTTAGTGTTGTGAGAGGTTCAGTTCCTGAGATCTCTAAAATTTGCTGGTCTAACTTTCAGAAAAGCCCATTTTTCCAGCATTGTTTTGGAGACCCGTTGCTTTAAATTTAGATCACAAGCCCTCTCCTGCACCTCTGAGATGCACCACAGTTCAAGGCAATCTTGGCAAAGAAGCACTTAAAGTTAGCTTTTAAAATTACATACACCTTCAGTATAATTGAATTGTCGTATAAAAGCAATTTTGTTGATACTAAAAATGTCTTGTTAGCATGGGACGCCTTTCCTGAGACATTATGCAGTGAAAAACAAGAAAATCTGTAATGGAAAGTTGCCAGTTTTGTTTAATGTACTGAGAAGAGCACAGTAATGTTCCCAGATGATCAGACTGTCCTCTAAATCACAGGTTACATAAGAGATTTGTGCTGCCAAATTTAGTAGGATTAGAATTTTCCTCAGTGCTGCTGAATTCCTATACTGTCCTTGCTGTTTCTGCATGTTCATTGGCCAGAGCTATGACTGAGCTAAGTACAAGTGACGTTTTGAGAGAAAAGAACAGATTAGCTATAAAAATGTTACTGTGGCTGTAGCAGCCAGTCAGATAAAAATTGAACAGGAAAAGGGTCCTTGTGTCAGGGTGTTCTCATGCTCTTCCCCATCTGTGCCTTTTGTTTACTGTGATGGTTTATTTGATTTTTTTTAACCCTGTTCTTTCTGCTGCTGAAGCTGGAGAAAAGACCATTCCAGATAGTCATTTGGCAACACTGTTCCGACTCATTAGGACTATTTTAATTGTTTACCTGTAGAAATTTTTTTCCCCTCTTAAGTTAACTTTGTTCCTTCATTTCCAAAAGGATAGCAAGAAAGACTTAGTGTTATGTACAGGGATGTCATAGACTACTTTGCATTCAGTTTTTCTTAAGAGTGGCCCAGACTTGCACCAAACTTTCTTATTTAGCAATATAAGAGATGTACAGGTTTCAGATTGTAGGTGCAACTGACTTACATACTTGTTCTTGTATCACTCCCATCATCAGCCCATCTCTCTGCAGTGCATCAGATTGCACAAATATTCCAGATCTATGCTAGCTGATTGTCTACCCACAGACACGTAGGCCAGGACCCTCTGCCAATCTCACCATCATAAATTCTGGGTAGGAATGTTTTTATATTATCAGTGGGTATAAGAGGTATGTGCAAAAATTAAAAAAAAAAGTCAATAGATTGAGTTAGGGAGCTGTGCAAAGTAATGCAATGAGTCATGTTGCTGTATTTTCCTAATACGGAGCTGTAAGTTTCCCAGCTGCAGAGAGAATCCCCAGCGTGAGAGATTTGGTTTTTTACTGAAAGACAGTAAGCTGAGAGCAGGAGCTGTGGCTCTTCACATCTGGTATGGGGAAACTTAGTCTGTGATAGGACCTCTACACTGAGAATAAGATTCTGGGGCTAATAAAGTCTTCAAAAAAACCCTCTCAGACAAGTAATTTGTTTTCCTGGCTTTGAACCTGGGCTTCCTGATCTCCTGTAAGTACATATGGCCTAAAGATGGGCTCCGTTGTGTCATTCACTTTGGATGTTGCTGCCCAGCCACTGACTCATAGGTTGCTTAACCTGTCTGCTCAGTGAGCACTGGTTCAGCATGGGATCATGCAAGTATCTCTTTTGCTTACAGTATCTTACTAGGTCACTGGTTTAGAAAAAAATGTTGTAGGGTGCAAAATGGAATACTCATGATGGGAAAACACACTCTGGATTTTGTGAGAGAATGGACACGTTGCCCCATCACAGCATAAGTTTGCTATTAAGCAAAAATTTTTTCTCTCTCCCAATCAGCAGAACTGGTTGGACAATCTGGTAAGGCATGATGGCAGCCCATACAAATAGCAGAGCCAAATGCTTCTTTTAGTGAGGATTATAAATGTGCCTCGCAAAGACTAGTTGGTTTTGAACTGCTTGTCTTCTTCCCAGACTTGTGCTTTTATGGAAGAAGTTATAATCTGAAATTCATCAGAAACTGATTTTTTCATCAACTTTTATGGGTGGGGCCATAGTTCACTCTGCAGAACTTGCATGAGGTGTATGTGTGTTCATCATGTCTGGCTAACAACTGCAGAAAACCCGAGTTCTCTGTTGACAAGGAGCACTTCCTTCACCCACTTTTGGGCAACAGGAATAGATGTGTTGACGGGACCTGGAAGAATTTGTCTGAACCCTTGCCAAGAAACTGAAGGAAGCGCTGAGTGGAGTATTTTCCATATGGGTATTACTGGTAAATATTTTTTTACGTTGTTCATGAAGACACTTCTGACTCATTTTTTTGCCTTGCTGCCATTCATTTGTGATAAATAGCAAGTAAATTTTTCAGGCACCACAGAATTGATGGCCAAATAACTACCTAATTAAGCAGAAATTTCCAGATTAGCTTTCTAGAAGAAAAGCTGTAGAAACTACTTCTTCCTTTCTGTCTCTCTCTTTGCACTGGAAGATACAGACTGAACTTAGCAATGTTCGTGATTCATTAAGCATAAATGCTTCCAGCAAATGCACTTACTCTGTGCTTGTCTGCCAAGTGGTATTGGGAAAACAAATGTTGAGATTTTTTTTTTTCTGCCTCATCATGGTTATCGTGATTAGATATCAGTATTTTTAACTGTTTCAGGTCACAGGCAAACACACAGAACTCACAGTTGCCATTTTATACTGGCTAATGGGTCTCATCATAGGCATCTTAAATATATTATTGTCAGTCCAGCCTTCAGGAAATCATTCCTTGCTGTTCATTTTCTGTTACTCCTTTTGCTGCCACAAAAGGTAAAGACTTTAAGTTTATACAGCTCCCAGATTGTGTCACAGACATTTACTGTTCTGGTATGTTTACTACTGTTCGGTAACACACCAGTGCAACGGAGACTACGTGTGACAAAAGGCACAGCTCTCGGGGAGCTGGCATCTAGCACAGTCCAATTGTCACCTTTTATTGATTAAAATATTTAAATGCTAATTGGATTTAGCAAAGACTTTACTCTGCTGTCTTAAATCTCTGTCTATGGAACCGTTTTTAAAAAGTAATGACATGATGTTTCAGTGATGAATATCTTCCTTCTATGACTTCCAAAATCATCGCTTCCTAAAGGATGGGAAATAAGTAAAAGTGATATAAGGGAAGAGTTATTCTACTGTTTTTCAGATTTTTTGTTTATTTGTTTTGTTCTTGTTTTTTTTCAGATAGTCTCTACTTACTAGGGTTTCACAGAAATTTTTAAAAGGTCAGGCATATTTTCTGCGCGTAGTCGTGTCAGCCTGAATTTGCAGAGAGCCTGACGCAGTGACTGAGAGAGCAGTTGCTCTAAGCTTTAAAGAAATCCTTGTTTGGATAATGAGATATTAGTAACATTGATTGCTGCTGTTCTCATCAGAACATGTGAAATATAAATTCAGAAACTCACCAAACTGGCATGTTTCCCAGCCAAGGTTGGGAATACTGGTCAGTAGACCAATATGGATTTACATAGATTTGGTAGGGCTGCAGCGCAGAGGAAGAAGAGGGCATCCTGCAGTGCTGCTGTGGAGGCTCCAGGCAGAGAGTCTCTGAGCTCCTGTCCTGGCGGTAGCGGAGAAAAAAAGCATCTGCTGGCAAGGGCAGCAGAATTCAGGCTTTAGGAATCAAAATGTTCAAATTTAATGTCTGTCTAGATACTAAAACATTACAGATAGTGAACTGTGAGTGAATCTTTGAAGCTTCTAGGAAAACTCTGTAGAGAACAGTGAAAGCAACTGATTCTTAAGGTTTTGCTGATAATGCCTCCAATTTCTTTCTGTTTTATCCAGATTCCCTATTATAATTACCTCTCTACACCTGGCTAATATAAAAGCATATGTGATTGCTGAACTTTTCAGTAAGTGCAGCATTAATAGTTGCACTGAGTTAAAAATAGACAACCAGGTGTTATGGTACATGAAGAAAAAAACCTTACTTTTTAAAGACTGTCACATACATTCATTATAAAAGAGAAGACTTAAAAAAATTATTTATCTCAGCTAAAAACAAATGTGCAAATATTAAATAAACTAGCTTGCAATCTTCATGCCTCTTTATTCCAGAAAAGATTTCTGAAGATTGAGCTTTTTTTTTCAGAAACAGCTGGGTGCCAGGGGCGATTTTTTATAAAGGTTGTTAAGCTTATTTAAGCAAATAATTAAAAGTTTCAAATCCTTCCCATGTAAGACTATATATGGCAAGGTCATGAAGATTGCTTGGAGGTGAATATATAGGTTAATCGGGTTTTGACAAGTGCGCCTGTCATACGCTAACTGTGAAATGCAATTTTAGAAAGACTGCTCTGCCATAGAGTGCTATATGCTCTGGCTTTATTCCTACCTATTTATTTATAATGAAAAGTCAATGCTTAGGTTGAGGGAGGAAATTGTAGTACTAGCAACAGTATTTGTGTGCAGTACAAGCGCACGCACTCGGTCAGTATTATTTTTCCATCACTGTTCCATGCGAGGTAGATAAATAAGAACCATTCAGCTCATTTGTCCAAGGCTGCTGAGAAACTTGGTGTCAGGTTGGGGTTAGAACTCATTTAAAGAAAAGCTATGGCATATGTAGATTGATAGGAGATAGCTTGTCTGTGTGTGTAATACTTGTGTGACCAGAGCAGACTAAATCAAGAGTTTGACACAAGAACCCCTTTAATGAAGGAATTGGTTAATTCGGAAAGCAAATAGAGCATAGTTTTCATATGGGCTTTTTTTCCCCATCAAGGTCTATTCAGACAGTTCTCCAGAACATTTTGTGTGTCTGTATGTGCATATACCTAAGTTTCACTGTCAGTACTTGATACTTTGGGCTATACAGCTGTTTTATTTGTGTAAACACTTCCTCTGTATAATTATTTAACTCTCAGCATTGATTGAAGTTAGGCAGAAAATGTGATATTTATTGAACATTTCATACATAAAACTATCGGTTTATCTTATTCTTATTTGGAGACCTATAGGTTATGATATACTGTCTCAGTTTTGCCAAAGATTAAGGCATATCCAGGTTGTTGTAAGGCAGTGTTTTATCAAGAAGATTGGATCAACAGGATTACAGTGCATTGAGGAACACACAACTATATCTCAAAGTATATTTGCATGTAAAAAATGTTATATTTGTGAAATTGGTATAACTAAGAATGCTGAAAAAGACAAGACATTAAAATAAATTGGTACTATGATAGGAAAAACCCCAAACATCTGTAGAAGATAAACTTTTGTTTCAAATTCAAGTTAACAGTCAGATTTTGCCACTTGATTAGAATAGTATCTTTTTCTCCCAAGTGTTGCTCCTAGTTTGGTTCAGATGTGCAGATATTTAATGATATTTAGGGACCTAATTTCCATTGAGTTGGTTTAATTGAGAATGGGTCATCGTAGAAAGCTGTGAAATAAGGTACAAAATGTGGCATATTGGTGATGGTATATTAAAAATTCCACTTGTTCTGTCTTATTTAGAATTTATATTTGATTTACTGTTATTGCAGGTTTATTTCCATTAAAGCTTTAATAAAAATTCAGCTTGCCACCAGCAGGTAAATAACAATACAATAGCAGTTGATTTTTTTTCCTATGCATAAGGATCTGGAGAGACTGATCCCAGAGATCTTAAGAAACAGCATTGTTTTACCTTGTTGGTTCTGTATTCCCTTCAAAAAGTAGCAAACAAGATTTCTGAACTGAAGTTGCCAGCTAGTGATAAATAAATTACTTTCACAGGAGGAATGAGACCACTTAACAAATTTCTGCTGGTGAATTTTAGGAATGGGCACATAATTGCTGTGCTATTTTTCCAGTGGGCTATGACTTCCAATGGGCAGTTTGAGACAGCAGTTTCTGGAGCAGTGTGGCATGCTTGTCTTGCCATGCCAGCTGGGAATTTTAGCTTGCACCCTAATTCTGCCAGCCAGAAAGGATAGAGGGCAGAGTACAAGCAGATCATATCAGTCCTGTATGTTCTGGCTGTTCATAGGGGGAATCCTAGCTGGGGAGACCTGGGGTTTTTGATCAAAGCATTTTTTTGAAAGTAACTTGTAGAATCCTTTGAAATGGGACAGAATCCTCAGGAGCAAGGATTAGAGGTCTGGATCCTCAAAGGTGTGTGGTCATTCAGCTCCTACTGAAATATGGGTAATGCCTGAGTGTCTTTGGGGATATGTAGTAAAATTTGTCTTCTGTTGGCTTTGTTAGTAGTTGGGATGAGTTGCTTTGGTTTTGATTTCTTGTGTGGGGATGAGTAGGTCATTTTAGATTCTGGCTAGTAAAATGTTACAGTGGCATTATGCTGTGAACAGTGAGAAAACACCTTGTCTGTTTTTTATTGGGTAGCTATGAATTAAATACGTTTATTTCTTAGCAAGAATTTTAGGAGACTGCAAGGTGCTAACAAGAGGTGAGAACAAAGCTGTGAAATAGCTGTTTCT